TCCCCCCTTGGAAACCCATCAGCCATTGCTGGGTTCCTCGGAACCCAGGTGTTGGGTTTCTCGGAACCCAGGCGTTGGGTTTCTTGGAACCCAGGCCTGGGTTCGTTCGAAGAACCCAGTAGATGGGTTCGAAAGAATCCAAGACGCTACTTGGGTTCGTTCCAAGAGCAAAAAGTGAAAAAAAAAGGGATTTTTTTTTTCTTTTTTTTGTAGATCTTGTTGTTTCATGATGATGAAGGAATTGATTAATGAAAAAGGCTAGGCAAGATGAGGAATTGAGAACTGGGAATGGGGAAGAAAGGGGGAGAAGAGTTCAGGCTTTGCAGGAGGTGGGGCCCACTCTTTTTTTTTTTTATTTTGGATCCGAATCATACTGTCATGTCATCTTTTTTTACAGGTGTGCATATGAGGTGTCATTCTATGTTGACACATCATCATGCTGCAGTTAATTAACAGGACACGTCATTGGATTTTTAACGGAGAGACTAAATTAGGGTAAAAATGATAAACAGTAGAGATCAAATAAGAAATTTTTTGAGTTGAGGGACTAAGTCGGGGTCTGTACAATAGTTGAGGGACCAAAATGGGAGTTTAACCCCTTTTTTTTTGGGTTTTGTTCATATTAATAATTGCCTTGCCACGGAAAGAATACATCCCAGCTTTTTAACTTAACTTATTAATAAAATAAACACAAAATTTTAATGAGTAAATAAATATTGATTTACATGTCTATTATATTAAATAGAAAAAAGTTCGATAACAACACAATTAATTATATAGCACGTTGCGAGAAAGAAAGGGCGTTTGTTTTAATTATTACAAATAATTATTAAATATATATATATTTTTTAAAGCCCTATTCCAATCAGTCCAACACTTTTCTTATGCAGTGTGGTCTTTCGTCGGATTAAATTGCAAAATATGGAAAATAAGATTAAAAACTCAGATTGCAACCCAAAAGAAAAAGAAAAAATATATATTTTTTTCAGTTAATCTGTGTTTAGTGGAAGAAGCATTCAAAATAAATTCTGACGGTAAATTCCAAATTTTATTGAAGCTGTTAATTCCCACTACCCATGAACTGCAATTCACGTTTATCATAAATCTCCAAAGAAAAATCCCTAAGCATCTGTGCCTTACCACCACCACCACCACCAGTACTACCGTTACTGCTAGAACTAACACTCGGCGCCATGGCTGACTTCTTCGCCACCGTCGCGCCCACCGTAGTACTACTCGTGTTCACACCCAGAGTCGATGGATTATTATTAGTGCACAGTACTGTGGGGACTGCTGGGATACTCACGCCCACCTGATTTGTTGAGGCCACAAATGATGATATGGGCCTTGCTGCCACGTTCAGGACCGGCGTCAGGGATGGCGACACTGCCCATACTTGCGGTATCCGCTGTTGGTTCGTGGGGTCGGCAGTGGTGGTCGGCGCGGCCTGTGGGATCATCCAGAACGCATTTGCGGGTACCATCATTCCGGTGTTTCCGACGGCCCACACTGGTACCAGTCCCTGTGGGGTCACCGGTGCTAGTCCCGAAGGTTGCGTAACCGATTGTGGCGGAACTCCATCGTTTGCATCGCAAAACTCGCTGTTCGATGGGCGTTTTCGCCTTTTTGCCCCACCTCCATCAATTTGGTTGCCCCCGCTTTTGTTGTTATTCGAAGGGCTTCCGCTTGACGTCGTGGGGATTTTCAGGGTCCCACCGACGGAGACTGCAATAGCGGGGACCGTACCGGTACCAGTGGCCTCGATGATAGCTTCCTCCGCGTGTTCAAGAAGCCACCGGACAGTTTCGCCGTCAGATTTGTGTCCAAGTTCTCTCGTCAGTTGAAAAATCCTCGCGGCACAGGTAGCCGGTATTCGGATCCTGCGGCCTCGCCCCTCAACTTTCGTGTGACGGTCTTTGGTAGAAGAGCGTTTAGCAGCAACAGGCGCAGGGATTGGGATAGGCATCTGCATCTGCATAGCCACCGGAACCACTCCAATAGGCGGCTTCTTGTGGGTCGACTTCTCATTTGGGTCAGAATCCATCTGCTCTTCCTTCAGTGGTCTCACCTGTAACGCTTCTTCATTCTCTTTATTGTTATTGGTAACCATGTTTTTCTCTCCTGGCTCTACCTCTACCGCACTTGCACTAAGATCACAGGCACCTCCTTCATCGTTAGGATCCATCTCGGGAGGAAGAAATGGAAGAGACCCAGATAGGTACAGTAAGTGT